TGGCCGAAGCTACTTCGGCATCCTCCCACTCTGAAAACCCTGGGAGGATATCCCAAAGGACAGCGGGAACTTCATCATCCCGTCCTGAAGCGCTCACCCCCTCAACCCTCTGAGGAGGAGCCGAAGAAATGGGAGTCGCCCTAACCCCTTCAGCAGGGTCAGACTCTGTCCTTCGTCCATTCCAGGTCCCAATCCTGTCCCTGGGATCGGGGATTAGCCTTGCTCTTCTTGGAGCACGGGCTCCACCTCTAACTCCCCTCACCATTGACGAATTTCGAAGGAAAAAGTCGAAAAAGGGGAAAGAGTGCAAAGTCGAAGAAAAAATGAAATAAAATCAAAGGAATTTACCTTGATCTGAAGCAAAAGTCGCCGATTTACGAATTGCTAGTGACAAGTCTCAGCTTCTAAGCTTAATGCTCGGGGAATTTGCGAAGTTTTGATGCGGGCTCTTGAGCGTTCTTGAGAATTCTGGGTTTGTGTTGATGAATGAGTGGGGAGAGAAGACGCGCCTCTATTTATATCTCCAGAAATGGGAATTCAAGGAGTCTGCGTTTCAATTTCTCTCAAGCACCCCACTAAGTAACCGTTAAACACACGACCTTGCAGTTAAATCGCCCACTACCCGTCCAACTTCCGCAATTATCCACATTAACTGTTGTTATCTCATTAATCATGGGTTAATTATGGTTTAAATTCACATTTTTGGATTAACAAATCATTCACTTCCCTCCTTTTCTGATTAAATCAAACCCGACCCGTCATCCTTCCAAATAGGGTCTGGGGGGCAAGTTGTTTGGGTCCAATTTAGTCCAATTGGGCCTGGTCACTGAATGATCCAATTAAAAGCCCAAGGTTAAGGTTCAACTCTCCAAATGTGCTAAAGTCAAAAATCAACATCCTCAAAGCCATGTCAAGGTCAGTCAACGGCCCAATCAGCTTGGCCCAGCCCAACTGACTTCCGGGCCCAATCCGCCTCCTTCATTAGCCAAGGTATAAAAGCCAACAATTTGGTCAATTCTTGGTAAGACAATAAAGCCTCAAGCAACTAAACTCTTGCACAGCTTTCTCTCTCTCTAATATACTGACTTAAGCATCGGAGGGGCCTTCCTCGGCGTCCCCCCCGAGGCTAGTTTACGTGTATTTGTTGTGCAGGAAACCCTCGGCTCCTGCGTCGTTCGGACCGAGACCAAGTTCCCTCAAGATAAAAGGATCTTCCGAGATTCGATTGTTTTCATCCGAAACATATTGTTTCGGAGAGGTCGTTCCAACCGGTTATGGAGCCTTCCTTGAGCCCTTTGGTGATCCAGGATTGGGCAACACCTTTGAGGGTCGTAGGAAAGTATTTACACCAGGTAGCCTCAGACCTCGGGTTCAGATACATGTGCCCCTCGTAAGAGGCAATGTGATCCTTAGGATCTGAGGTACCATCGTAAGTAATATGTGCCGGGATTTTGACCGTTGGCACATGCTCTTCCAGAATCCACTTCTGGAAGGGCGAGTTCGATGGAACCATGACCGCCTTCCCCTTGTACCCGGCCTCAGGGACCTCGCTCCCTCCTCTCTCAGAGGTGGAAGTGGTTTTCGTCCCCGGCTGAGACAAGGTTGGGTGGGGTCCGGTATCCTCTGGGAAGGTGAGGCGGCTATGCACACTCACCTCCCTCGAACCCAAGCGTTCATGAACGCTTTGGCGGGCGAATTCCGGGTCCTTGGAGGGCCCCATGGAATTCTGAGCTTCGGAGTGGTCAGAGGGTTGAGGGTTCCTCCTCCTCTCCTTACTGGAGTTTCGGGTGTCCCCTCGCCACCTCTGGCCGAGCTGTCTATGTGGTGGAACTTGTCCACCATCATCCTGACCGATCCTCCTTTTCAGGTTTCTCGGCTGGTGATCATCAGGCATCTGGATTGGAGCCCCTTGAGCTTTAAGGAACTCCATGCAGATGGCCACTGCTCTGGCCACTTCCTCGGTGGAGGGTCCGGAGGGAGGAGTCTCCCGCGGATGTGACCTGGATTGCACGCTATGGCGCGGCGGGGAGTTCCTCGCACCTGAGCCACTCGGTCTCGGGGATGGCCCCGGCTGCCGAGTGTGGTGCGAGGTGTTCTCCTCCTGGAGGCTAGGACCTCTTGAGGCTTCCCTTTCCGGAGAAATGGGGGCCTCCGATTCGGAAGAGGCTTGCTCCGGGGAGGGATAAACCGGCTGGCGTTCCCTCACCGTAATCCGGCCTCCTCCCTTCTTAGCCTTCTTGGAACTCTTTCCACTCTTAGTCATGGCGACTGCCGGAGTGTTTGATGACTGACGCGAAATTTAGTAGCGTTCCCCACAGACGGCGCCAAATTGTTTCGGATGAAAACAATCGAATCTCGGAAGATCCTTTTATCTTGAGGGAACTTGGTCTCGGTCCGAACGACGCAGGAGCCGAGGGTTTCCTGCACAACAAATACACGTAAACTAGCCTCGGGGGGGACGCCGAGGAAGGCCCCTCCGATGCTTAAGTCAGTATATTAGAGAGAGAAAGCTGTGCAAGAGTTTAGTTGCTTGAGGCTTTATTGTCTTACCAAGAATTGACCAAATTGTTGGCTTTTATACCTTGGCTAATGAAGGAGGCGGATTGGGCCCGGAAGTCAGTTGGGCTGGGCCAAGCTGATTGGGCCGTTGACTGACCTTGACATGGCTTTGAGGATGTTGATTTTTGACTTTAGCACATTTGGAGAGTTGAACCTTAACCTTGGGCTTTTAATTGGATCATTCAGTGACCAGGCCCAATTGGACTAAATTGGACCCATCGGGCAGTCGTCTTCAGAATCTTGCGGTTCATCATGCGCTCAACTTTAGACTTGCCGCTTTCTGAATTTTTGCCTTTTGTTTTTTTTTTTTGCTTCAGCTTGCCTTATCGTACAACAGCTTATTATATTTTTATTTTGCCTGTACGTATTTCGGCAGCTGTTACTTTCCGCTTGTGGGCGGCTGCCGACTATTTTTGTAATTCAACATTTTTATTTCAAAGAAGTTCACTTTCTCAGCTTTCTTGTGTATTTTTTTTTCTCTTCGCTTTACCAGTCTTCGCACTTTACTGCTTTCTTTGAATGATCTTTCAAATATTTGCTAAGTGCAGAACTTCGGCTAGCGAGAATCATTTCTGCTGAGACTTCTTTTTGCCGTTTGTACTCGGATGTTTTCAACTTGTGAAAAAACTGACATAAGTATCAAACTTCGGCTGAGCTGAAGGGTATTAGATCAGTTGTGCCATTTCTCTATTTCCCTCTGCCCCCCCAGAAATCTGAAGATGAGGTCTTCTGAATTCTGGAATGGCTGATAATTTTTCTCGGCTAAGCCGAGGATCTTTGAACACTTTGCTTTATTTTCTACATCTGTTTTTAAAGTACTGATTTCCCACCTGAGAGTTTTCACTCTAGAGATGGTACTCTTGTGACACTTTCTTCAATTCATCCAAGGGAACAACTGTTTCGGAGAGGTCGTTCCAACCGGTTATGGAGCCTTCCTTGAGCCCTTTGGTGATCCAGGATTGGGCAACACCTTTGAGGGTCGTAGGAAAGTATTAACACCAGGTAGCCTCAGACCTCGGGTTCAGATACATGTGCCCCTCGTAAGAGGCAATGTGATCCTTAGGATCTGAGGTACCATCGTAAGTAATATGTGCCGGGATTTTGACCGTTGGCACATGCTCTTCCAGAATCCACTTCTGGAAGGGCGAGTTCGATGGAACCATGACCGCCTTCCCCTTGTACCCGGCCTCAGGGACCTCGCTCCCTCCTCTCTCAGAGGTGGAAGTGGTTTTCGTCCCCGGCTGAGACAAGGTTGGGTGGGGTCCGGTATCCTCTGGGAAGGTGAGGCGGCTATGCACACTCACCTCCCTCGAACCCAAGCGTTCGTGAACGCTTTGGCGGGCGAATTCCGGGTCCTTGGAGGGCCCCATGGAATTCTGAGCTTCAGAGTGGTCAGAGGGTTGAGGGTTCCTCCTCCTCTCCTTACTGGAGTTTCGGGTGTCCCCTCGCCACCTCTGGCCGAGCTCTCTATGTGGTGGAACTTGTCCACCATCATCCTGACCGATCCTCCTTTTCAGGTTTCTCGGCTGGTGATCATCAGGCATCTGGATTGGAGCCCCTTGAGCTTTAAGGAACTCCATGCAGATGGCCACTGCTCTGGCCACTTCCTCGGTGGAGGGTCCGGAGGGAGGAGTCTCCCGCGGATGTGACCTGGATTGCACGCTATGGCGCGGCGGGGAGTTCCTCGCACCTGAGCCACTCGGTCTCGGGGATGGCCCCGGCTGCCGAGTGTGGTGCGAGGTGTTCTCCTCCTGGAGGCTAGGACCTCTTGAGGCTTCCCTTTCCGGAGAAATGGGGGCCTCCGATTCGGAAGAGGCTTGCTCCGGGGAGGGATAAACCGGCTGGCGTTCCCTCACCGTAATCCGGCCTCCTCCCTTCTTAGCCTTCTTGGAACTCTTTCCACTCTTAGTCATGGCGACTGCCGGAGTGTTTGATGACTGACGCGAAATTTAGTAGCGTTCCCCACAGACGGCGCCAAATTGTTTCGGATGAAAACAATCGAATCTCGGAAGATCCTTTTATCTTGAGGGAACTTGGTCTCGGTCCGAACGACGCAGGAGCCGAGGGTTTCCTGCACAACAAATACACGTAAACTAGCCTCGGGGGGGACGCCGAGGAAGGCCCCTCCGATGCTTAAGTCAGTATATTAGAGAGAGAAAGCTGTGCAAGAGTTTAGTTGCTTGAGGCTTTATTGTCTTACCAAGAATTGACCAAATTGTTGGCTTTTATACCTTGGCTAATGAAGGAGGCGGATTGGGCCCGGAAGTCAGTTGGGCTGGGCCAGGCTGATTGGGCCGTTGACTGACCTTGACATGGCTTTGAGGATGTTGATTTTTGACTTTAGCACATTTGGAGAGTTGAACCTTAACCTTGGGCTTTTAATTGGATCATTCAGTGACCAGGCCCAATTGGACTAAATTGGACCCAAACAGTATTAATAATGGTGTAAAGTCATGGATGCAGGATCTTCAAGACTTGGCTTATGATTTAGAGGATGTGTTGGATACATTTGCTACACAAGCTCAAATTTACGAGTTGATGCTTAAGGAAGATGTGCACGGCCGTGTTTTGAAGAATAACGACCCCAATTTTGCTAGTTCACCTAGCAATAATATGGTTTGTTAAGTCCTCCACCTTGTACAATACTGCCTACTTTGGTAGTATATTACAACTATAATCTTTTCATTGGCAATATTCTTCCCATATTTCTTATTTTAATTAGTCTTCCACAAATTTTTTTTTTTTTTTTCAATACACATGATGTTACATTGTTATTCTTAATATGCGTGTCCAAATCTAAGAAGAAGATTATTTGTGAATGGATAAAGTAATATGAGTATACTACAACCACGAAGATTATCATGGTTTTGATGTAAAAAGGTATGTATTAGTCATTTAGTCCCAATTAGTTTGGTTTGGAATTTGGACCGATGGTACTAGTTTGTTTTTGTCTAAGCATAATTTGTCCAATTTGTATCAAATTTCAAAGTGTTAGATACTTACCCATATAGGTAGTGAATTAAGATATAGGGAAACGATATATTCATATTCACTTAAACGAGTATAGATATTGAAATTGGATACATACTCATTAAGCCGCCACTAGTAGTGGATAGATGGTGGGCGTGACTTGAAAGTACTGTGGAAGGGTATTTGTGCACACACACCCCTTGTATCATCTCTCATTTTATTAAGCTAAGGGTATGTTCTCTTCAACTTAAGTTCAGTTCAGTTTCTGATTTCAACCTCTCATAAAATATTCAGTTCAGTTCAGCTCAGCTCAATTCAGTAAATCAGAACAGACCCTGAAACTTAAAATCCTTTCCAAAAAAAAAAAATAAAAAAAATTATTAAAACAGAGCAAAGCATCAAGTTCATTCCCTGTGTTTTGCACTTGACTACTTATCTAATTTTTGCCACTGCTTGCTTTTGTCGGGAAATCTGAAGTATTCTCACGTTATGTTCTTTGTTTAAACCAATCTTTCTGGTTATATTATTTTCGCCTAATGATTTTCTCATTGAATTAGTTTCTTTATATTGCATACCACCTGTTCGATGAAATGTCGCAATTAGATAAACTACCGTACATGGTATTCTTAGTTGTATTCCACAGTATGCAACATTAAGCAGTAATTTTCTTGCATTCACCTATAATTCTTCTTACAGGATTTTCTTATGAGCATATTGTATACAAATTTAAGCAATATTATGGATTCTATGGAAAGTTATGGATGTAAAATATTGATATATAATAACATCATAAAATGTTATAGGATGATTTCATATAAATTTTCTGGTTTTAAGTTTATACAATATCATACTTTATACTTATAATTTTGTCTTGCAGGATAAATGTTTATACCTTAAGCAATGTACAATAGCAAGCAACTATATAGCAGTAGCTAAGATGTTTCGACTGATTCATGACAAATAATTGTCTAGTATCAAATTGACTGTTAATTCTTCCGTAATGAGTTTATTATCGAGTACTCACTGTATGCATATTCACTAACAATCTCAAATTTTACAGTAATGACTAATGAGTTTTTACTAATGTTCAAGTTTTCTTGCTGCACTACAATTGCCTTCAGTAACAGATACTCAAACAGCAAATATTTTTTGCAGGTGCAAAGCATTGTTGTTAGTGGATCGAAAGCTTTGGAGCATCTGTCATTCATGTTCAATCCCGGCCAAGATTTAACAGCAAAGATAGAAGAGATTAATCAGCAGTTGAAAGAAATTTTGAGCCAGACTAAGGGCTTGGGGCTTTCTGTACATTTGATGCAGCAACAAGTTGAACCTCCAACAGCAGGACGAGGATGGAAAAGCTGGCGGGAATCAACTTCTTTGTTATGTGAGCCATTTGTTTATGGGCGGGAAGGTGACAGAAAAGAGATCATAAGTCGACTATTGAATGATGACAACTCAATAACCGGTAATAACTATGTTGTAATTCCTATTGTTGGAATAGGAGGCATTGGTAAGACAACTCTTGCTCAGCTCATCTATAATGATGAGGAAGTGGATGTGTTTTCTGTAAAGGCATGGGTTTATGTATCTCAAGTGTTTGATGCTAAAACAATAACAACATCAATTATTAATTCAATCACTGGTGAAAGCAACACTTTTTGTGATCTTGATCAAGCTCAAGTACGATTGAAGAAAGTGCTAACAGGTAAACGATTCTTGATTGTGCTTGATGATATATGGAGTGATACATATAGTGATTGGGATGTATTACGAACCCCATTAAGAGCAGGAGCGAAGGGAAGTAGAGTTGTGGCTACTACAAGAAGCCAGAAAGTTGCCTGGATCATGACTCCAAAGCTGAATAGTATGATTTTGTTGGAGGGTCTCTCAAATGATGATTGTTGGCGTATAATTGTACAAAATGCATTTGATGATGCTGGTGTTTCTTTAAGCCCAAATTTTTGCTTAATGAGAGATGACATGACAAATAAGTGCAGAGGCCTACCCATGGTAGCGAAAGCTCTTGGAGGTCTTTTGAGGACTAAAGTGGAGGAGGATGAGTGGCAAGAGATTCTTCACTGTGATACTTTGAGGATGAGCGAGAGCAGGGTATTAGAGGTATTGGAGTTGAGTTTTCATGACCTCCCATCACATCTGAAACGGTGTTTTTCTTATTGCTCCATTTTTCCATATGATCACGTATTTAAAGAGAAGGATGTCATTTTATTGTGGATGGCTGAAGGCTTTTTACCTGAAAATGTAGGAAGCAAGCAAATGGAAGACATAGGCCATGATTATTTTCATGATCTAGTATCACGATCATTTTTTGAACCGAGCATAAAGGGATCAGAATACTTCAAGATGCATAGCCTACAAACTGATTTGGCCAGGGAGGTTGCAGGTAAATTATGCTTAGCAATAAAGGATTGTTCAGTAAATAAAGATTGGCAGAAGGCTTCTTGTAGAGCTCGATATATATCCTTCTCTAAACTAGATGAACCTGAAAGATACACTGATACCGTTTCCTTGAAGGTCAGCCACTTTCGTACTTTTGCTCATTTTGACAAGCATATATTTTCTGGTTCTTCAAATCGAGTACTTGATCTAATAGGAATGTTTCAATGCATGAGGGTGCTACTGCTACCTCACATGGGACTTACAATATTTCCAGAATCCATAGGCGATCTTAAGCTCTTACGGCTTCTCAATCTCTCATACAATAATATTGAAGAATTGCCTGGATCCTTAAGCAACCTTGTTAATCTCCAAACTCTGTTGTTGAAGGGTTGTGACAAACTTCAAAAGCTGTTGGAAAATATGAGATGCTTAATCAACCTTCGTCATGTGGATATTGATGGCACCTCTGTGCATGAGATGCCGTTGGGGATTGGGAATCTGACAAACCTGCAAGCATTGAACAATTTTTTCATAGGAGCAAATGCACCCGTTATAAGAGATTTGAAGAATTTGAATCATCTTAGGGGAAAGCTAACTATAACTGGCTTGGAAAATGTGTTAAGCTCCAATGACGCAAGAGATGCAAGGCTGTATCAGAAATCAGGTCTTCATGAGCTAGAGATGGTATGGGATTGGGGAAACTTTATTAACGGGGTTGATGACAACACTAGAATAGATGTGCTTGATCAATTGGAGCCTCACAAATCTATCAAAGTGTTAACTTTGAGGAACTATAAAGGTGTGGCATTCCCAAGATGGTTGGGAGACCCTTCTTTTACTAAGATGGTTATTATAAAGCTAGTAGGTTGTGAGAGATGTGAATCTTTACCACCACTAGGGAAGCTGCCATCATTGAAGGAGCTTGAGGTTCAAGAAATGCGTGGTCTTAAAGTCATAGGTTATGATTTTCATGGTGTTGATTGTTCAAATCCTTTTCCGGCATTAAGAACTATGAGGTTTAAGTCTATGACTTCTTGGGAGAGTTGGTTACAGTCAGCTGATAACAGGGGATTCTCTTGCCTTCAAGAGCTTTCAATCAAGGATTGTTCATCTCTACAGCAATCTTTACCTTCATGTCTCCCTTCACTACACACACTAGAGATACAACGTTGCAAGCAACTCTATGCCTCTCTTCCAAGCCTCCCTCGACTCCAAAAGTTGATAATAGATGATTGTTCATCCCTTGTCATGGTTGATCAGCTACCTCTGACCCTTCGGCAATTAGTAATCTCTAGTTGCCAGAAACTACAGTTCGTGGAATTCAGGGAATCATATTCTTCTTATGATGGAAAACTTACTCTGGAGGTTCTGGAGGTTGTCAACTGCCAATCTCTGTTAACATTGTTGAGTAAAGATCGCCTCAAAACCCTTGAATCTCATAGTTCTTTTCCCACTTTAGGATTAACAGAGAGAGGAAATATTTCTTCTTCTGATCTTTCACTATTTGAAGAAGGTTTGAGTCCATCAAAACTTGCTAACCTCACCAAGTTAACAATAAGTGAATGTCCCTATCTCATCTCATTTCCGGAAGATCTTGTTCTCCCTGGCCTACGAAATCTTCTGATATCAGTTTGTCAAAACCTAGAGTCCCTCCCGAATCAAATGCATAACTTCACTTCCCTCCAAGACCTTATTCTTACAAATTGTCCAAAAATCCACTACTTCCCAAAAGGCGGTCTACCCATGAAGCTGATTTCACTCTACATGGATGGACTCAACATTGAACAACCAATGCAAGAATGGGAGTTGCACAACCTCCATTCTCTTGAAAAGCTCTCAATATCCGAAATTGGGTGCTCTTCAAATTCAGTATACTCATTCCCAAATGGGGATATTCGTCTTCCCTCATCATTAATTGGATTAGCCATCAGTGGTTTCATAAATGTGAAATCAGTATCTTGCTTGGGTACTCTAAATCTCACATCCCTCTATGTTAGGGGGTGTCCAAATCTTGAATGTTTTGTTGACAATTTTCTTCCTCCTGAACTTAGAGAATTATGGGTTGTTCAGTGTCCTGTGCTGAAACGTCGAATGGAAAGGGATCCTCTTCGTCACACTCTATCATGCATTACTCATCTCCGTTTTTGCTAGTCTTTTGATGTCCCTGTAATGATAAGATGATACCATGTGAATACGTGACTATATCATACATCCCAACTATGCACTATTTTTTAATATGTTGTTCAATGTCTTTCCTACTTTGTCTATTGTTCAAGTCTTTTATTGCTTTTTATTTTCTTGATTTCAGAGTACTGCATTTCTAGAATGAACAGAATGTAAATTCCAGAAACTAGCATTACAGATCAGATAAACTGATTTGAAAAAATATATGACGTCTGGCCTCCAGACTCCAGTCTTTCTTCAGTTTTCCTGCAGTGAAAGCATCTGGTAAAAATGCTTACTTGCAGAGAAGGACCTTCCACCGGGGCCATTTGGGGCCTGGCTCCTGGTAAATTATTGTAATTAATCAGTCAATAAACTTAAATAACCTGAACATAGTGACTAGTTTAAAGCGAGAGGCAAAAGATTCTTTCAAATCTTGACCCCTTTAATATTTTTGGTCAAGATCCGCCATTGCTCACTTGTGTAGTTAATCTCTACTATATTTTGGACTTAACTGATTATATACCGAGTGACGGATTTCCTAAAAAAAAGCTAGAGGAAGAAATGCTAGAAGGGTATGATATCTAGTGTGATATCTCAATTGATACTATATGATTCCTTCAGAAGTGATCATTTTGGCATCTACAGTACTTTTTTATGCAGTATGTATACTATTCTTCAAGCTTTAAGTTGCTTAGAAACATAAACTAGCATAAAATTAGACGGTGGAATTTATACTTTCGGTTATAGTATTTGCCAAATAAAAGAATTGGAGCCATCTACCACTCAACACCATTCCACTTCGAATCTTGAATAAAAGATGCCTTGTAAAAATGTGAATATGTAGTACGATAATCGAATAAACACTAAAGTATGATTCTATGTTGATAATATGGGTAAGATTCTAGTACCACTAAATGTAGAAAAAATAAATTCTTCACCATCTATCATTGTTATTTTTATTAAAAGACTAAAAGTAGTCAAATGTGGCCATTACGTACTTACCTTTGAATCCTTTGATTTAGTATAATGGTTAAGATTAGCATTTTCATATGAATGCATGATACATCCCATCGAACTTACTAAACCGATTAGACGCCAGCATCACTACTATATATCATACTTGGTTAAAGTCTTTAGGGTCATATTCGAAATTGGGATCAAATGTGATCTACACTTTAAGGCTCTCCTTATATAGAAAATAGAATAAAATTATTTTCATTCCTGTTTATTTGTCACACTTTTTGAATAAACACGTCCTTATTTAATTGATATATTTTTCTTTATTTTTAATATTCATGGACTTCATCATTTTGAATTTGTATTTTTTTTTTTTACCCCACATTTTACCCACTAAACATTTAATATAATAGAAAAAATTGTACCACCCACTAAAAAAAAGTAATTTGTAATAATAATTCACTACTACATGCCACACAATAACATAACAATTCAATTATGTTGCCTATTTTTTTCATCCGTTGGACTGTATCAACTAGATGTGTCGAGGGTTTCAAAAAAAAAAAAAAAAAAAACAAACAAAACTAGATGTTTCAAGAGCAAAATATAATAAAACTCGCTCTCTTTCTTCATTTTTTTGTTTTTTAGAAGAACGCTCTCTTTCTTCATATCTCATGTGATGTGTCTTTTATTACCTCTTTGTACATCAAATTTGTGTAAGAAGACAGTAATCAAAGGATAAGGGAGCATATTTCAAAATCCAAAAAATAAATAGACTAAACATATGGAATATATGCCTATGGAATGCACGTTACAGGAATTTTCAAACAATCTTTTTTCAAAACCACGGAGAAATTGAAAATATGAAAATATGATACAAGTGGAGCAAGAATCCACCTTTTTTTTCTACCAAAAGAATTATTAGATTATCTCTTGGTTCACCTTATATAAAGAGACTAGAACTTTGTATGCTATAACTCACCCACCTCATTTCTAACCCAAATTTCCAACCTTTCAAATAATTAAGTTGTTTTTAATCATTTGTTTATGTCATCAATGAAATTATACAAACCTAGCTATTCCAACCAAACAAACTTCTCTAAATATGAGTACCAAGAGCATATGAGCCAATCCAGCTATGAAAGCCAGGGCCAATCCATTGAGAAGCCCACCAACTACTATGCCCAAGCCCGAACCGTCTTCCCAAGCCCATCAATTCATGTCCAAGAAGACCATAATGTAATGGGGAATATGAAGATGCATGAGGGTCAAGTGGGCTTGGGAGAAATGGAGCATGGTTGGTCAAAAAAGCCCAATCAATACTCTAGCCAAGCCCAATACCACCAAGGGCAATCCATGTACCAGGGAGGAGGGCAAAAGACTTACAATTATGGTGACGGCGGATTCGAAGGTGGTTACGCTAGTAAGGCCACCGCACTTTCCGGTCCAAAATACTTGAGCCCAATCAAAACAAATCAATCGGGCCATATGGCCCATAAAGAAGAGCATATGATGGGGAATATGGATCAGGGTTGGGGTAACTCGACCCCTAAATTCTCTGGCCCAACCCATGATCAACACTTGGGCCTAGCAATGCATAACGAGGATCGTACAATGGGGAAAACGGGTATTGGTTGGGAAAACTCGCCCACGAAATTCACCGGCTCCACTCGAAGTAATCAATCAGGTTTTGGAATGCATAAAAATGAGCATGTGATAGAGAATGATGATGAAGTTTGGGCTTATCCGCCTAATAAATTCTCAAACTCGAACCAAATTCATCGTGATGATAGTTCGCTCCATAACGAGAACCATATGGCTGGAGAAATGGGTCGTGGTTGGGCCAACTCACCAAATAAGTTCTCTAGTCTAACCCAAAATCAACAAGGCAACATAGCAACGTACAACGAGGGGAATATGGATCAAGGTTGGTCCAACTCACCAAGGAAGTTTTCTAGCCCAACAAAGGCTCACCACTCTGGCCTTGCAACACATAACCAAGATTACATGAGTGGGAACACAAATCATCGCGGTTGGACTAACTCACCAGACAAGTTCTCTAGTCCAACACAACCACATCACTCAGGCCACGCGATGGGGAAAGTGGACCATGGTTATGCTAACTCACCCACCAAATACACTGGGCCAAATCATTTTAGTAGCTCCAACAACACCATGTATGGAGAGCGCCAGCAACACGGATGGGGTGATAAGTCCATCAACGGATTTGGGTCAAACCAACTGAACCATTCGGCCCACACCCCATACGGGGACTATGATCACAACGTAGATGAGGGTGTTAATGACATTATGGATGAGATACTAACCAAGTATCCATCCCATAATGTTAGTGGTGGACATGGAGGTGGTTGGGCTGGAAAGCCCGACTCCTATGCAAGCCAAAACCAGGCTATGGGCTATGCTGCTCAAGCATTTAGTGGCTCGGGCCAATATGGGAGCGCGGCCCAATCCATGTCTAGTTCTAGCTCTAAATACGCGGTAAAAAAAGAGTTAAGTTTAGGATTTTCTGCCAATTGCAATAAGGAAGAATATTCAAGTAATTCCAGTGCTAAGAAGTTCGCAGCCAAGATCATGTTTGGTAGAAAAGGGTAGCAAATAGCCAAATATGATAGCTAAGGTGATCAAGAAAGCGGGGTTCAGATTACCAAAGACATTATCAAAGGTAAAAAAACCTCTTCTAATTAAAAACTTGAAATGTTGATCATCTTAAATTTATTACTCGTATAGGAATATAATTGGTCTTTACGTGTCACATGTGATATGTGACACAATACACACACTGCCTTAGTGCACATACACTCGAGTATAAGATAGATGTGCTAAGCAGCCTAGCACCCGAGTGTAATACTAGTCACGTTGATCTTTTATGTGTTGAATTATTTTGATATTGATGTATAAACGTTCATTGATTAATATGTCCACGAAATGACAATTGCAGGTTTTACCAAGTAGAGAAATCAGCTTGGACAATATAAAATCATACGGAGTATGATACACTAAGAAATAAAGACTAGTTATAAGCAAGACTTTCACATTTGTCTAGCTTAATGTATGTTTTAATTTAATGCTTAGCATTTGTAAAATAATTATGCTTGTTGCTTTAAGCTCTCTTTTTTGTATAATGAATTGCTTGTTATATATAAACTAGTCTTCTGGCCCGTTCCATGCACGGGTTATTACTTAGAATATTTTCCTTGTAATGTGTTGTTTATTTATGTTGTATGAGTCAGCTTTGTTTTATTATACTTTATATGTTTATATAATGGGGACTAATTAGCTCGATTTTTTTTACTATTACTTTATTTTAAGTTTAAGAGATGAAAGACTACGACTTTATATTGGTGTAGTTGAAACACTTAATTTCCTTACTTAAATTTGCAAGTTACATAATGCATAAAGACATAAAATTTATTTTTTTTGATAAAGAAGGTGGCATGTGGCATATGAGTGATTTGTGATGACATGTGGCATATAAGTAATGTGTGGTTTGTGTTTTTAAATACTAAAGTATAGAGATAGATAGATATGTATTTTCAAGCGATTAGGAATTTGAGATGATGTGAAAACTGACTAAAGTGAAGATAAATTATATATCCGCCCATGTGCCATACATAGGCAATATAATGGTTCAGAACGACCCAATAATTTTACAGCCTAGCTTAGTAATGAGACGATTAATCTTGCTAACGCGTTTAAACAATGACAAATTATACCAGAGACACATACTATATTATCTTCAGACGATCAAGAACCCGTGACAATATCAAAACACAAAAGTAGTGATAAAACAAATCCCCTTCATTTTAATGTTTTGCATTCCTCTGTTTGTTTCAGTACTATTTTGTAAATTGTCCCCCTTTTTTTAACTAACCAAATTGTCACTTTTCAAATCATGGACTACCTTAGTAAAAAAAGGATTACTCCAAGACATAATTTATAACATCACTTATACTAATACATTATGTTTTTTCTCAGGGAATGAACAAGATTTAACACTCCCAACATCCTTAAAAAAAAATTTAAAAATTCTAAGTACAAGTTTCGCGAGAAATGCCAATCCTATTGTTAGGGACATCATAGACAACCCTGTGGTTTTGTTGCTGCATGTTGGCTATGATATTGAGGGCGGAGTTGGGGTTTTCCGGGGCAGCCGCCATTGCGAGGCATGCAATGCTGGTGGAGGTACTACGGAGTAGGAAGTTGTCTTGGTCCAATGTCAAGTCCATGCCATCAAAAACAAAGGTTATGGATGGTA